TTCTCAAGCCCACACACTTCCTGCGCGGACCTCCGTACGGTGGATTGGATATAAATGAGACCTTCCCCTGCTGCATCCTTCGGTAAAACATCGTCGCTGCGACTGCCTACTCGAGCTGCCCATCATGTCTTTCTTGTGCACCCCTCTCGCCTTGATCAACCCGTTGCACCGTGAAGGGTGTATCGTTTCCTCGCCCCATGGAGGTGCATGTCCGGTGTCGATTGACTTCACCAAGCGGCTCTCTGCCCATCTGGAGCTGACCTTGTCAGAAAAGGAGTCGAAGCCGGAAACCCGGGCGACAAACTACAGGAACGCAGCCAGATTGATGACATGCGACAATCACGGAAAAGAGGCTTGCGAAATCGCTGGTTGGTGGGAAGAGCAAGCAGCACAGCAATCCAACTCTATCATACATTCCCTCTCCAGCACAGAAATCCCGACATGCAAGCAGTCTCTGCAATCGCAGATATCTCCGGAAGGTGGAATTATGCGCCAGTCAATACGCATCTAAATCTCGATGATGTTATTATCATATCTGGTTCGAAGGCTTCGTGCATGACCGGTTCACCTCCTCGATCAGCCCTTCACCGCGAAGGCTCAGAATTGCGCCGAGCAAGCGACTCCTGATCTGTAGGTTGTCGGCGTTGGCCATCTCCATCGTATCGACGCGCTGGACACATGATCACCGGAAGGCCACTGCTATTGACCAAAGACCGCCTGCAACCCAGCCCGACCTTCTTGGAGCTCTTTCATACGGGGATCATGGCCAAGCAACGTTGTTCCGGTTTCATGAGCCGGGTTCAAATTGGGACAATGTCCTTGGGTATTTGCAGACATCAATGTACGGTGATTGTCCTCTAGGTCCCCCCTATCCAATTTGAGACTCCACGGAGACGGCAAACCGAGCAGACGTTTGACACCTTCGGGTATGGAGCATGTTGTTACTGTTTACCTACTATGAATACAGAGGTTCTCTATTGCAGTACATAACTGGCCATGAGAGCATGATTTTTCTGAGCATAACCTGAGCAATTACGAAGCCGGACCACCTGGAGTAGAGAAGAGAAAAAAAACAATCCCCGCTAAGCCCCCGAGATGGCTGCCGCAACCTCACCGACCGAACTCAAGCTCTTGTAATCAAAGTCACCCGTCAAATAGACCATCGCAACGCCCTTCATAACCGCAGTCCCAACAACGGCTGCGTAATTCACGTCCTTCAGGACAGAGTTGATGATGATCGCGCTCTGGCTATAATCACTCTACTCAACTCCGTTGAACAATCTGCCCGACCCGGACTACTGCTTACTGCCCAGCCACGCGTCGTACGTGCTTTCGAAGTCGACGATGTGTGTCGCATAGTCGAAGTATTGCGAGTCCGGGGCTGTGCCCGGGTTGAAGATTACCGTTGAGCTGTTTCCGGTGGACGGGAAGTGTGCAGAGTGCGACTGCACGTATTCGGCGGCTTCTTGCATGTAGGATACTTGGGCTTTGTCAGAAGATTGAGGCACTTCATCGAAGAATATTCCCGACAGCGTTATGCCGGAGTTGTGGTTTGCTGGGGTGCCAGTGCTGGTAGCCGTGGGAGCAGAAGTATAGGCAGGCGTAGAGGTGGGAGTCGACCTGGGAGTTGTTGTCGTAGCGAATCCAGTTGGGGCCGTGCTCGCAATAGGCTCCAGGCCGGTATCATCATTCGGGCACGAATGCCTATACCGGCGCTTTGTCTGACTGCGCTTGGTGGAGCTACTACCGCTGCCACTGTACGAAGCCCACTCGCTATAAACATCGATGTCCTGCTTGATGTCATCAATATTCCGGTTCGCCCAGTTCGTGCGGACGTATCCANATCGCCGTCCCCTCTGCGTGGAAAGTCGAGGCCGGCCAATATGTGTACCTCTGGCTGCCACAGGCAGGCCTGCGAACTGCTAGTCAACTGCCGCTGTTCTATGTCTCGTCTTGGGAAGATACGCCGGGGCCCAACGACGCGAGGGCATCGACTGCGGAACCAGGGGTGGAATGGAGACAGGTGGGAACAGCGGCAGAACGCGATGCAGCCGCGCCCACGGTCAGCCAACGGCATGGATCGAGAGGGAGGACCTCCTGGAATACTGCGATGGGTCACCGAACGCTACGGGTGCTGGCCCGCCCGCAGTCTTCGGCACTGGCGGCGGCGCTCTATAATGCCAAGTATCTCACAATATTCCACACAGCGCGCTCGTGCTGGGACCGTACGGGCGACCGCCGGATCTGGCCCCCTTCGGGATCGTGCTACTGATCGTAGAGGATATCGGGATTGCGCGAGTCTTTTCGCTCATCCCGACCCTGATCCTGGCGAGTGAACAGCACCGCGCTATGGCACGGAAGCTTATCGTGGTTTGGCAAATGGAGGACTTAGGTACCGCGCGTCGCAGCACCGCATCCTGTCTCCCCGAACGGTGGGCTGAGCTAACACGGTCTAGACAACCGTCGGTGGGTGAACATGCAGCATTTGCTGGACCTCGATCGCCAAGAATTCAAGGTACCACGACCGCCGACCAGCCCGCGATCCATAGGCTGCCCGTGATAGATCCTCCGATTCGTCCTCTACTACCGTCGAAACCGCAAGAATGAGCCCTCACGGGACCCAGGAACGAAGGTTCGATTCATGAAAGGGACTGTGGATGTGGCAGAGACGATAAAGACGTCCCTGAATACACGTCGGGGGAGTATGTTGGTCGGCGGTATGAACCCTCTTCGAGGTTTGGGAAAAGCTGATGCGTCCGATGAAGCCATGCTAACGGATCACTGACTCCACTCTGTGCTCGACAGTCGATCCGTAACCAGGTCAAGGCCATCGTTCAGCCCAAGCTGAGCGATGACCTCCGGCTCCTAGATCTTGATGTCGAGCCGTATCATCAGTGGTTGGACATTGACACAACGGTGGCCACTACCGGACCATCCAGAAACCACCTCCAATGGATCGCCGCCAGAATCGCTGAAGGCCGTGGTCATTCCAGCTGACCGATCTACCAATGGTCCCTTGTTTGACGAGCTCCCGTGCAAGTTCGATTGGACTACCAGGTTTTCTCTGCACGTTTTTACCCCTACACTCATGCTAACCCAGTCGACGCCGATTCCTCACGTGGCTGCGCTCACCTCGGGTCCTATGCACGGCCCCAGCCAGGTAATTCCGCGACCGAACGCTCCATAGTATCACTGCTCCCAGCATTCCGCTCCTTCGGCGTGTTCGCGTCTGCGCAGCCCGTCCGACGGCGAGAACAGACTCCTATCGCGGGAGACGCTATTGGATCGCGGAAGTGTCGGCAATGGTAGGTCCGCGAACGCGTGCCACCGCAACGTTGGCATCGTAACCGGCCAGACGGTGGAGCCGACGAGACCGGTGCACTAGCGCCTCCGCGGGACCGAGATTGGGCCAAGCCGACCCTGGGATCAGGGACCCGTGGCACGGATGTGACGCGTCGCTGGTTGATACGGCCCTCTTGGTCCGGGACGCTGGGTACGGAAGGCTGGCTGTCAGCGAGTGCTCTGAGCCTCGTTCCAGAAAGTGCGCATACCTCGCGGCCAGGGGAGCGTGCACTCCAAGCTTGCACAAGACCCATAACCAAATCCCGTCTCGCCAGTTCATGTTGCGATTGCGGTGCGAGAGTGGATGCAGCCAACAGTCCAGACTGTGGACTAGGAGTCATTTTATGTGGGGCGATCAAGATCGTGGTTACCCATGTCTGAGTGCAAACGGTCATCCTCGTTCGGGCAAGCGCATCGCGCGGACAGTCCGGTGTGACAGCTCGTTGTGCGGGCGGTTCGCACCCGGCACCCGAGTACCAGACTGCAGGCATTTCGAATGATCCCCAGCGGATGTCGAGATCGCTGTCACAAATTCTGAAATTGTGCGACCGGAAATCGTGTCCGATATCGACTTTTCTCACAGGGCCTGCAAAGCACGGCGTTACCAGAGGTGAACCCCGCCCCAGCTGATCGCCAGCCTTACGCTTGGCCGTCTCTCGTGTAACTGCGGTCGATTCAGAGCGTCAGTCACTGACCCAGGAAGCAATTACAGCCGGAGGTGGGTGGAAAACGGCTAACCAGGGCAGTATTGAAAGGTGTTTGAAGTTGAAGGAGTTCTGGTCAGACGCGGTCTACCGCCGTCAGGCGCCTTCCTGGCCGTCCGGCGGTCTGAGTCCCTTGGACAGCATCCTTTGCTCCCCGCCTTTGCTCTGGCTCGTTTGAGGACACGCATCAGTTCGATCTGCGGACGAGGCGGGCGAAGGGAGACGGGGGCCGGGGGAATTAGAAGGGAATATACACATGATAGACGATGTCATCTTGGGATTGCGAACGTTGAACGAAAACGTGCGATGACATGCCTGGTCATTGACGCGCAGGATTACCCGTTGGAACGCGTCGGGGTGAAATGAATGTTTGTGGAGGACGCGCGAGCCAGTCACATGGAAGGCCATCTTACATAATGACCGTCCCGCGTAGCAGGGACATGAACCACATAACCGATCAAGTGAGACGACGGAAGGGACAGCAACAAGCATCGCAGAATGTATGCAACCGCCTGTCGATTAGCTCCCTCGACTGTTGACCCGTGCATATGGGGACTCCCTTTGCGTGCAGAGCTGTGGGAGATTAAGTCTGACCAGCCTTGTTGAGTCTCGCACGCGAGAATTTACATTCGGAGCACAGGATGCACATTCAGATGACGATTATTCCGTCTCTCATCTTCCCCTGCGAATAACTACGAAATACACCCACCCGCATAGGCCGATTGACCGGCCAAGCGAAGTCATCCGACTTTTACAGAGTATTGTAGATAACTAAATTAGAATCAATATCCAAGTCGATGAGATTTAAATTCGGTCTCTGGGCATTGAATTGAGGGGAAGGGTGTAGCGCGCTGCTAGTCAGCCGTGACGATAATAGCCCCACTGTGTATTTCAGCGCCTGGTTCTAGGAGGGCAGAAACTCCCCCGGGCCTAGAAGCAAGCAGTAGCTGGTAAATGCGGAGGGGCGAGTGCGAAGGGCAAAAACGGTCGGGGGATGGGAAGCTGCGCAAATGCTGGAATATTCTATTCCAGATCTCAAAAAGGCCAACAGTCGAAAATAGATCTTTTTGTCAGCTTGTCGAGGTAACTTATCTTTCCATAGCGGCAATATGACCAGTATACCATATGGTACATGACACAAATGTCGACTATCTTCCACGTGCTTGCTCGAATATCCATAGGTCGGACTGTTTAATTGACGGAAGTGAGGAGACCTCTACGGTACTCTCCCTTCATCCGCTGCTCGGCCTGGGCCGCAGGGAGTAAGCGATTGGGAGGACGGGTTGGGATCAAAAGCTCTTGGATCGGGCTTAAGGGTGACTCCCCATTGTATAACAACAAGAGTCTTTTTTTTCTCTTTCTGTCTGTTTATTAACTTCGCTACATGTCGATCTGTGTCGTACGGTTTCCACCAGTCGGATTCTTATACACCCGCCATAACTGCAGACTCCCACCAAATCATCAAAAGCCTTACCCAAAACGCCCGCCCCTCTACTTCAATTTGTCTACATCACAGGTACATGTATTCGCACATCACACTCATTCTATGTACTCCACGATCCCCATCAAGGGGAGAAACCCCCCACCCCCCTTCCCCATCATCACTCCTGGTTCACAATCTTAACGTCAATGGGCATGTTCCACGAGAGCAGAAACTCCATGACGCGCGAGATCTGCTCCGGCTGCATCTGCTGCAGGATCATAGTCCTCCTGCTCTTCCTGATAATTTCCCGCCGATCCGGCGGCCGCGTCGGGGTCAGTTCCATATCCATGTCGGGGATTTGGTCTTGGATTTGGTTCCAGTTCCATTCGAGATTTGCTTGTAACGAGTCGAGTGTGAGCCGTGGGTCTGTGGTGGTGGCAGTGGTAGAAGGAGAAAGAGGAGGAAGAGAAAGACGAGGAGGGGGAGGAGCGTCAAGTTGCATCTCGCCTTCTTCACTACTCCGAGCCGTGTCCATACGGCTACTATCAACATCGCAGCGCGCCGGTGGAGAGCAGTCGTCGTCGAGCAGCCCGGTCCCCATCACGTAATCCACCCAAGACTCTAGGGAGACTGAGTTGGGCTCTGTGCCCATCTCTCCAAGCATTTCCGGAGGAGTGCTTCCGCTCGGTCCCAGGTATGAAGAAGAAGAGGAGCTGGTTTTGTTCGCTGAAAGCTCTTCGCCGGTGCTGTGGGCGCCTGAAATGAGCATGCTCCCCAGATGAAGATCTTCGTGCTCTAATTCTGAACTGGCTATGGTGGAGACGGAACATTGCTGGTGCGGATGGTGGTGGTGGTGGCGATGCGAGCTGGTGGTGAGATTTCCACCTGTGGATTCGGGAGGCATGCCGTAGAATCGCGGGACAGTTTCAGACTGTGGTGACAGTGATAGTAAAGGTGAAGGCTCTGCTGTAGATGGCATTGTTGTACTCGTGGCTGGGTGCCATTGTCCGGGGAAGGTAGAGTTGGAGTTGCTTGTGGATTGTCTCATCCGCTGTAGGGTTGTGAACCTATATAGATAGATAGGATGATGGGATTAGCAAATGTGGGCAAAGTATTTGATCAATCAACCAGTCAATCGATGCTTCAAGCCCTTCTAGCCTCAAGCCAAGTAAAATGATTGACCAACCTGTTTTTTGCATCGTTGGCGGACCTACGGTGTAGCGCTGCATCGACTATCTGTTTCCAATTGCGACCTCGCTTCTCAACCTCTGCGAGGAGAATATTATCTTCCTCTAGCGTCCATTCACTGCGATTCAAGCCCGGGTTCAGAAAGTGCTGCCAGCGTTTGGCGCATTCTTTGCCATGTCAGGCAGTCAGTTAGGTCACCCGGATTAGGTCAGTAAGTGAGAGCAACTCACGGTCTGGTTGACGAGTGCCGACTGCCTGAGCGACCTCAGTCCATCTGCAACGGTTAGTTGACAATGAGGATATACGCAATAACCAGGTGGCGCAGAAGTGCAAGACTGACACGGTAGAATACTTTGCAACGGCCTCATGAAGGCGCTTGTTCTCTTCTTCGTTCCATAGACCCTTGTTGATTTTACTATCCAGCTTGATCCACCGCTTCCTGCAGTCTTCACCACTCCGTCCGTCAGAATGCGTTGTCCATTCAAAGTAATAATGGAGAGAGAAGCAAAATTGTGCTGTCGGCTTGGGTACCTTTATTGCTTCTCCCCGGCAACTTCTCTGCAATTGTTCGCCAGTCTATAGGCTTTCCCAGCCTCACTGCTGTAGACCCTGATGGTGATGCAAATCACCCTGTCAGCCCTGTGTAACCGATTTGGCCGGAGCAACGGTTTCATGGCAGAATATTGTAGGCACCTTGCTTGACAACCTCTCTGCGCAATATGTGGTCCTCTTCTTCCGCCCACAAGTTTCGGGCCTTTAGTGTATTATCTCCATGCATCGTACCACAAGAACATCAACAAATGATAAAATCAGAAGAAGGGCAGGATCCAAGAACGAAAGAACGACAGAAGAAGTAATAGAGCAACGTACTGCAGGAGGAGGGGCAGTAGGACTCGGACGGCAACCTCGGGATGGTACCTTGGTACTAGCAACATCGGAACCTGGTGGTCACCGACATCAACTTGCGGCTGAAGCATAAAGAACACCAAAAGGTGAATCGGTATAGAACACAGTGAGCTTGTTCTTCTGTTACGCGGGTCCCAGAAGCCTCCAACAGAGTAGAATAACTACTGTACAGTATTTTAGTTCTGGTTCTTGCCATGCCGCGTGGCTGGGACGCCTTGCGCAGTTGTTCGAGTTGGTTTCTACTGGATTAGAGGCTGGCTCTCCGCGGGGGGCGATATGCTGACGGCTGACAAGACCCCCTGCAAGGGTGGGTGGCGCTTTCTGCAGTGAATACGGTCTCTTCGCCCCTCTCGCCGAGCAACGTGGTGACGGTTGACAAGGATAGGAACCTCCTGTCTTATATATGGTCTCTTTGCAGGGGTGAAATAGCGATGGATAGCAAGGATAGGAGTCTAGACTAAAATCATCTTTTCGTTGGGGCCAAAATGGCCAACCTTTGACAAGAGTTCGGAGCTGGTACGTGTACTAGGTAGTTGGATGTCTCACTCAGCCGATGGACCCTCTATCATAATTGGAATGTAATGCTTGCAACCTTCTCCTCTCTCTGGTTTACTCAGCTGCGTCGCGACAGGGGTTTATATCAAGTGCGAACAAGCTCATTTTTGAAGAGGCTTGACCCTTATAGCAGGGTGCATAGATTAATTGCAAGACGAGCGCTAACAATAACCATTACGGGAATCCTTTAGGCGTCCAGCTCTTATTGTACCTTTGCAGCGCCTGCTTGATGCCTCGGTCCTATTGCGCGGCATATCCGGTTGGCACTAGTATAGATCGATGCCACTAACGGAGCACTATAGCATGCGCTTCTATCATTGGTGATGTGTGATTATCAAATTGCTCCCAAGAGGTTGTGTAGTTGCAGATCTTACAATGTAGCCAAGTGCCATGTTGTGCAGCGCGCTCACTCCCCAAACTCCAAAATGTATGCATACGACTTGCATAAAGCTCAGTCGTGGAGGACTCACATCTTGAAACTATGCCTGCTCTGGCACGAACCAAGGGTGATGTGAGTGGAACCACATGCGCAGTAACTCAGCGAAGCGCCTAAATATATTGGTTATTATTAAGTCCTCTAGCCACCAAGGTAGGATCATGATGAATCTGCATATGATATTGATGATAGTCTAACTCCAAAAGGAAAAGAATGATGGGGTCTGTGTGGTGTTCTCGGGTCTTCTGCGGATGTTTTGTGGGTCCCACGAGGATCAATGATTTGTTCACCATAAAGTCAACTGTAATCTAACCACAGAGGGTGCCCAGTAAACGATGCAACCATTGACACACAACTCGCATTATCCAGAATGACCCGATTCCAGGCTTTCTACGAAGCGAACCTAGGCTGGGGACCCCGATTCGACGGCTCCGGGCGGCCCGTTGTTTCGCCTTAGTGCAAATATGACCCCGGTTCTCATTGACAGCGAGCCATGCCACCGTATGAGTTGCCACCGTTTTCACTCCGCATTCGGCGGATCTGACTGCCCGTTGGCGTGCTGCCCGCTTAGCTCATAAACCCCGTTTCGATGAGACGAATCACCACCACCAAGTCCCTTTCAGTCCAGTCTGGAGGCCACCAGACGGAATGTGCTTGCGTGCATGCCGCCTCTGCTTGGATGCGACGTGAGCCAGTGAAATGAAACAACCCATCTCTAGCGCTTATCCTACACGCCCTTTCATCGGCCACATTGCATTGACCTGCCCTTCCCCGTCACCTCTAGGCGGGGATAGCAAAATCCGCTAAAAAAAAAAAGCCCGAAATACTCGAAAATGGTATTTCTACCTCTCTGAGAGTTTCTTGGGTGGTGTGTGTGTGTGTGGGGTGGGGGGAGGAGGGGGGATGATGCACGTATGAGCGCGACACAATTTGTACGTATCTGTGGCACGCAGCACTTCGGCCGAGTGTAGTGTGTTGTGGGTGAAGTCCATGAAAAGTGCTGACCAGTTGAGAGCGCTATTGCTGCTTCATGGGACATGTCTTGTCGTCCTCCTGCCCGCGGGCTTTGGGTCGTCGCCCCTCCAGCATGCGGATGAAAGATAGGGCAGCTATAGCGCAGACGGTGTCTTGCTGGCCTTGTCAGATGGCTCCGGCGCAAGACATGTGCATAGCGATCCTGATTGGATAGTGCTGTGAGCTATAGAGGCAAATCCAGAGCCAGCGCTTGTTCGTGTTCAGCCGCGCCTTTTCGTACGAGACGATGTCGATTCAGTCTCTGTTAGTTGCGAGTATTATGAGATTAGATAGCTTCGCAGTCAATGGTTGGGCCCCTGTCAAACAAAGGGAGCCTGCTATACTCATATAGAACCGTCATGACCATAACGAATGGGTAGGGCACAGGCTACCTATACTGCCCTACTGGTTATGTTCGCTTTAGATATATATCTTTGCACGTGTGAGTACTGTAGGTATAATCACCACCAATCAAACAATACCATTAAGCGAACCCACCACAACCCACAAATAGTATAGATTATGCATAGCAAAGCAAACACGAGTAGATCATGCTCAACTGACTTATAGAGATCGAATATAGTATTACCACTATATCAAGTTCTTTTAAGATAACTATTACCTATATATCACTCGAGCAGGCTCGATGACCTGAGTAAGGGGGCTTCTTAAAAGAAGAGGATGTATGTCCTTACTAGGTGGCCATTATGTTGCGCACAAAAATTCATGGGCTCAAGCTGGAACTGCGCCCGGCGATGTACTCAATAATGCACAAGTCGGACTCTCAGCGCACAGTATTCCGCACACAACCCACTCGAATGCAAGTTTTGTCGGCACCCACAAGTCGTAATGTAGAGATCGAGCACCGCAGTATCATGTGGAGTCGCGCCGGTCGTGAGTGTTACTTTTGGTACACAATTTGAGGCGTATGATAACAAGGCATCCGATTGGAGAGAGCCTTATTCTCTGAGTATACAGCGCGGAAAGGCCGCACCATCCCCCTGTATATTCTGCTATTAAGACATCAAGCATAGTCTCACGATTGACTAGACTCGCGATGAGCGCAAACTCTAGCTGTGGCGTGGGCGAGGTCGTCGATTGAGGTCTGTATTGGAGCCTCCTGCTGATATACTTTAATGACAACTAGATCAATCCGCCGTCAAACGTGCCAAAGCCTCAGGAGTATCATACTTCTTCAGTAAGTCTTCCTTCATCTGCTCAATTGCCTCCGACCTCTCCTTCCTCACATTAATCAATATCTCACCAACCATCCAGAGGGGGTNTGGTGTTCGCTCCAAGGCACCAGCGGATTAATGTGTCATTCGCAGGACACAAGGGATTTTTGCGGAGCCTGTCCTCTTTTTCGTGGTGGAATATGCTTCTTAGGAATGGTGTAGCCTGATCATGGTCAATTTCATTTTAGGCGAAGGAATTGTTGCCCAGCCCGTGATAGAGGAAGATTAGTAGATCGTCGCTACGGGAAATACTGACCCTGGAAACGGAGGTCGACAAAGTTCAGAGAATGGTAGCCTGAGTTCACTGTAGCGTAGTAGGAGCGACAGCGTCTCTCGATATTCAGAAAAGTTGCTTTGTTCTAGATTCGCACCCGCATGCTGGCTAAGAGGCCATCAGTTTCTTGCCTGTTACCCGGCACCCAGCCATCATCTTGTAGGTCGGAATCTGAAAATGAGTCAGACGGGCTAAATCGCCCATATTACCACCCACCGTGTTTATTTACCCCCCACATCCTGCGAAAGCATCTAGATGAGGGTCCAGATGACACCCGACAGGATACAAATACTCCTCCCGCCTGAGACTATCGGCCCTGACCTGCAGCATGCCTCCAGCGACATCTCCCTGGTACGACCGAATTTCCCACATATCGCAGACCGATTGGTATGGAATATGACCCGCAATCGCTCTGGCCAGTTGGCTCGTATGGCGTCTGGCGTCCCGTGGTGGCCGGTGGGCGATCCGATGGCACGTGATTCAGACACGGCGACTCCTTGCCTATCCCCTGCCGAGACCGTTCGGCCACCTCGATATGGCCACTGTCCAACAGGGCTCAATGGTCGCGCTTCTGCATACAGTGAACATCCTGCCACTGGTCTTGCGGGCTCGATCCCGGGCCACCGTGCACCGCCGCGCCGCCAACCTCGCGGTCATGAATTTCATTCCGTTGTGGACGGGCTGGGCCTTCGGGTTCCCAGCGCATCTTCTAGGCATCGATTGGTCGGCGGCAGCCTGGACGCATCGATGGGCCGGCCGGATGGTCATCATCCACTCCGTCCTCCACGGAGCGATTGCGATCCTGAGTGACGGCCAACCGGCGCAAGCTATACGACAGCATTACGTTCCAGTTCTGGTGAGGCATTTGCTCTGATTCCCGGGAGGATTCCGTGGGCAGTTCCCCCGGATATCGGTCGTCCGCTAACCAGAACCAGGCAGCGTGTTCGATGATCATGATCGTTCCCGTGACGCTGCATGCCGTGGTTCGCCGTTACCCGCAACAGGCGATGAAGTGTCACTACCTTTTGGCAGTAACCGGACTGGCGTCGATGTCCTACCATGTCTGGATGCGCCGGTCTAAAAGCCTCTGGTGGTTGGTGGCGGCAGCAGCTCTGTGGATGTTCCTGAGTCTGGCTTCCTTGGCTGTTCCCCTACGGAGACGCTGGGGCCACGCCTGGCCTTCTGTTGTCGTATCCCAACACCATGAGCTTCCCCGTATGGACATCGCCGTCCCCTCTGCGTGGAAAGTCGAGGCCGGCCAATATGTGTACCTCTGGCTGCCACAGGCAGGCCTGCGAACTGCTAGTCAACTGCCGCTGTTCTATGTCTCGTCTTGGGAAGATACGCCGGGGCCCAACGACGCGAGGGCATCGACTGCGGAACCAGGGGTGGAATGGAGACAGGTGGGAACAGCGGCAGAACGCGATGCAGCCGCGCCCACGGTCAGCCAACGGCATGGATCGAGAGGGAGGACCTCCTGGAATACTGCGATGGGTCACCGAACGCTACGGGTGCTGGCCCGCCCGCAGTCTTCGGCACTGGCGGCGGCGCTCTATAATGCCAAGTATCTCACAATATTCCACACAGCGCGCTCGTGCTGGGACCGTACGGGCGACCGCCGGATCTGGCCCCCTTCGGGATCGTGCTACTGATCGTAGAGGATATCGGGATTGCGCGAGTCTTTTCGCTCATCCCGACCCTGATCCTGGCGAGTGAACAGCACCGCGCTATGGCACGGAAGCTTATCGTGGTTTGGCAAATGGAGGACTTAGGTACCGCGCGTCGCAGCACCGCATCCTGTCTCCCCGAACGGTGGGCTGAGCTAACACGGTCTAGACAACCGTCGGTGGGTGAACATGCAGCATTTGCTGGACCTCGATCGCCAAGAATTCAAGGTACCACGACCGCCGACCAGCCCGCGATCCATAGGCTGCCCGTGATAGATCCTCCGATTCGTCCTCTACTACCGTCGAAACCGCAAGAATGAGCCCTCACGGGACCCAGGAACGAAGGTTCGATTCATGAAAGGGACTGTGGATGTGGCAGAGACGATAAAGACGTCCCTGAATACACGTCGGGGGAGTATGTTGGTCGGCGGTATGAACCCTCTTCGAGGTTTGGGAAAAGCTGATGCGTCCGATGAAGCCATGCTAACGGATCACTGACTCCACTCTGTGCTCGACAGTCGATCCGTAACCAGGTCAAGGCCATCGTTCAGCCCAAGCTGAGCGATGACCTCCGGCTCCTAGATCTTGATGTCGAGCCGTATCATCAGTGGTTGGACATTGACACAACGGTGGCCACTACCGGACCATCCAGAAACCACCTCCAATGGATCGCCGCCAGAATCGCTGAAGGCCGTGGTCATTCCAGCTGACCGATCTACCAATGGTCCCTTGTTTGACGAGCTCCCGTGCAAGTTCGATTGGACTACCAGGTTTTCTCTGCACGTTTTTACCCCTACACTCATGCTAACCCAGTCGACGCCGATTCCTCACGTGGCTGCGCTCACCTCGGGTCCTATGCACGGCCCCAGCCAGGTAATTCCGCGACCGAACGCTCCATAGTATCACTGCTCCCAGCATTCCGCTCCTTCGGCGTGTTCGCGTCTGCGCAGCCCGTCCGACGGCGAGAACAGACTCCTATCGCGGGAGACGCTATTGGATCGCGGAAGTGTCGGCAATGGTAGGTCCGCGAACGCGTGCCACCGCAACGTTGGCATCGTAACCGGCCAGACGGTGGAGCCGACGAGACCGGTGCACTAGCGCCTCCGCGGGACCGAGATTGGGCCAAGCCGACCCTGGGATCAGGGACCCGTGGCACGGATGTGACGCGTCGCTGGTTGATACGGCCCTCTTGGTCCGGGACGCTGGGTACGGAAGGCTGGCTGTCAGCGAGTGCTCTGAGCCTCGTTCCAGAAAGTGCGCATACCTCGCGGCCAGGGGAGCGTGCACTCCAAGCTTGCACAAGACCCATAACCAAATCCCGTCTCGCCAGTTCATGTTGCGATTGCGGTGCGAGAGTGGATGCAGCCAACAGTCCAGANCATACTTCTTCAGTAAGTCTTCCTTCATCTGCTCAATTGCCTCCGACCTCTCCTTCCTCACATTAATCAATATCTCACCAACCATCCAGAGGGGGTGCGCGTCCGTCAAGTCCATTAACACCGCTAGAAAAACATCATCCTCCTCAAGCTTGTCCAACTCCCCATCTCTCTTTAACCCATCAAGTAGCTTCAACATATTCTCGAACCCAATATCTCCTGGCTCCAGGGTACATTTGAACGTACTGGTCTCATTCCCTACTACGAACTGATGGTACCCGCCTAGTGGTACGGTCATAGGCTTTTCCTGGCTCCAGTGGCGTGAGAGTCGACTTGAAGGCAAGTTCAGAGTTGTCAGCTGGTCCAGTATGGACGGATACGGAGCCATTGATGAGCTCGAACGTCTCAGAGAAGCGGCTGTGGTAGTGAGGAGGAACGGAGGTGCCGGGGGTGGTCGTTTCAATAATAACAGTACGGGCATTATTATTGTGAGAGGCAGACTCGACGATACGGTACTCCCGTTGATCCCAGCGACGTTCCGCAGGCATCTTGTTCACTTATGGAGATGTTTGTAAGCAACGTAAAAAGGTGGTCCAAAATAAGGTAGATAGATGACAATGTCAGGTTTCAAGCCAATTCATATGCGGTAAAGGTCAAGGGCATAACATATGTTATTTCACGGGCAGGAGAAGAATCTGGACACGTGGGGAATAAGTGTTAAATCCCTATTAGTCTCTAAACTCCAATATCCTCACTATCAGTCCCCCCCGCTCTATCTCCTTGTATATACAGACATCAGAGTGAATTCTTACAACGCCCATGCACGGAGGCTGCATATGAGTCATAATCATGATCTAACGTAATAAAAGGGAAATAATCAGATTATTCTCTATTGGGATAGCTGTAGGCTTTATTATAGTTGTCACCGTCACAGGTGGGTCTGGCCGTTGTTGTGTGGTGGGCCGTGGCAGAATAGGTAAGATGCAGCGCTCGTATAGGCTTTGGGGTTACATCCACACTTACATGTAAGCAGCCTCTCTCGACTCAATAGATGAATATTTGAGATAGTCCTGCAGGACCAGCGGGTAATATAGCAGCCTACTACGACCCTACATACGGCACGATCGAGCTGTGTGAGACTGCACCCCACTGATTTATCACATCTTCTTAGGTAATGCTAAGCTTGTGTTTCGTGAGATCACTAAAACTTGATTCGTTTGGGGGTTTGGTGAAATGGTGAATGAGGTGAAGAAAGCAAAAGCCAGCGAGATTAAAAAGATGAAGCATGGTTTGTTGGAGTAAATCCCTTTGTTTGGGCAAAATTGTGTGCTTTTTTCGTGGCACTGCGACATTTTGGAAGGTGGCCGAAGGATGGGTGGTCTAACTTACAAAGTCTGATGGGCGTGCCGCCCTCAGCGATAATCCTTTCGTTCAAAAAAGTATGTAATTAATGAGCGACTCGCCGGCTAATCAGCGACTAGTAATGATGTCGCGGAAAGCTTTGATTTGGTTGTGTGGCGGCATCGTAAAAGTAGGGTGTATCTGAGGCTGTATTGTTGAGGGCGTTGATGATCTATTGTGTGCGGGGCTGGTGGATTTTGCAATAATGTCCACCATAATTAGGTGCGGCTTTTCATGCATAATAATTGGTAAATAATTAGTAACAGTGTAGTTATTTCTGATAGATTTGTCAGTAGACTTTACAAATCGCCCCGACAAACATTGACAAATGCAAGACGAACATTGAAACACTACAAGTATATAAATTAAATAAATAATATTATGTGGCCTTCGCCCAAGGGCCTACAAGGATATAAGGTTAGCATGTGTTGTTGGCGAATCTTCTTCTCCTATATCAAACAATCACAACAACCTTCATGCGAACAAACGTGCCTCTCTACTAGATACTCAGGAATCAGTCGCTAAGCCAAAGATTCTTTAAAGTTGCTACCGACACACATCCCCCATCTCTTATCCTCGACATCGCTTCTGCCATGGCTTCCACCACCAACGTCCTCATCTCCGGTGCCAGCCGAGGTATGTGTTATACTACTAGGGTTATTCCTCAGACGCAGGGCTTTTCACCCTGACATAATTTTGGCAGGACTCGGAAAGGCTTTCGTCGAACAGTATCTCGCCCGGCCAAACCACACTGTCATCGGTACGGTCCGCGACGTCAAGAGCGCTGCAGCTGAGGAGCTGCGAGCGCTGCCCGCGGCTGAGGGCAGCAAGGTCGTACTGGTCAAGGTTGAGTACACCTCGACGACTGACGCCGTGGACGCTGTCAAGGAGCTCGAGGCACAGGGTATCACCAAGCTCGATATAGTCATCGCCAACGCCGGCATCGCTGGCCAGCAAGGGCGAATTGAGACCATCGACCCCAAGGGCCTCGCAGAGGTCTACCTGGTCAATGCCGTTGGCCCGGCCGTGCTCTTCCTGGCGCTGAAGCCGCTCCTCGACAGGGCCGAGACGCCCAAGTGGTTGGCCATAAGCTCCGGTCTCGCGTCGCTCCACGATCTGCACAAGTACCCCATGTTCCCGGGGTTCCCGTACAACGGGTCCAAGGCGGCGTTGAACCACTTCACCAAGACCATCCACGTTGAGAGTCCTAAAATTATCGCCTTTGCCGTTTCTCCTGGGTACGTAACTGCGCCAATTAGGCAGATGAAGGCCGTTACTATGAGCCTGCTGATAACTAATTGGGTGTGTTTGTCTTGCATAGGTTCTTAGAGACCGACATGGGACGCAAGACTGCCGCATTTTTCGGCTTTGAGAACCCGCCCTTTTCGGACATCAACACTAACATTAAGAGCATTATCGGGCTGGTAAGCATTTTCCCAGCGGTCTACCTTTTCTATGTCGCAGTCGTCAGCAGTGGGCTAATTGTTGTTGCCAAGGTGGATAATGCGACTCGGGAGAACTATTCTGGGCAGTTTCTCAATTTCGATGGACAGCTCATTGAGTGGTGAGAGGCCAGTCTGAAGGACTAGTATGCTAATAGTCCTTATCTACTGTTGTTAGGCATTTCAGATAACTAAAATCTCTCTGTTGATTTTCTTCTCTTCTTAAGTACTGAAAAATGGTAGGACAATTCGTCATTGAAAACAGTCTAGTAGATAGATTAGCAAAAACAATCATCTTAAGAGGAGGAATAAGAAGCTACCTATATGTATTAAAGCCTCTATATGTTCCAATACCCAGCAAACAAAGGTATATGTAGACCTAATATAGTCCAAAGGAATACCCCTTCGGCCTTTGTGACAATACCCTGCAGAAGATACCAACTGTCACTGTGCTCTTCCAATTCCTGCTGGCAGCCCCTAAACCTGCTGGTAGCAGAGCTGCTGGCAGAATAGACTCCTAAGAAGCAGCCGGGTCAGGTGGCCGGCGAGAAAACAGCAATCATGATCTGTGACAGTTTACTGGTAAAGATGGCTCGTATTTACAAAATAAAGGCATTAGCGGCTAGATCTATCATCAGGCTATTGAACTTCATGCGTTTCAATAGGCCCAGTTGTCTGTGTGCCGTTAAGCTGATCTTCAACTTGCCGACGAGCCTCTTCAACCTGAACGACTTGCACGAAGCGCTTATTTGGATTTGGGCGTACTTTTGCTCCTTTTTTCGGTCGGAATTCCTCGATTTGAAGCTCTAGATTGCGAATTTTAGCCTCGTGGGCTGCAATCTTAGTGTTTCGGGTGTCGAGACCTTTGCCAATCTTACGGAACAGCCGCCGCGTAGTTATACCAGCCTTCTGACTGCTCGTAAAGCACGCAAGTAGGTGTCGGACATTATGACTGCCAGCGGGCGTGTTTATATTGTCTTCGGCTAGCTCCTTCCGCTTAGATTCCGCGATCTGGCGCACTGGTGTTATGGTTGTGGTGTTCTTGCTGCTTGGAATCACAAACCGGCTCATCAGCGGCTTTGCAGCATTAATAGGCCACAACCCTGATGCCTTCCAGCCGGCAGATATATTCCTAGATGTCAGTCCAGCTAGCCGTGCTGCTGCATAACATCTGAGGAAGATAGTAGCCATACGATTGTGATAATGAGAATGCCTCAGATGGCCAGCGGTCAACAGGAGGAAGATAGTGAAGACTAAAAGTGTGTACGCGCAGACCCGGCGTACACGATGACCACGTTTCTCGCCGAAACCTTGGCTATGGGTATGGTGATCAAGCGCACGCAGAGTGGAGTTGCCCATGCACCAACGGCGCATGCGATAGCCATGGGCTGCGAGAAACATGACCCCAGAATAGGGGAGCTAAATATACGCGAAACTCAATGATCGCGCGATGATCGCGCGATCAGATGAGTCATCTTAATCTGAGCCGCTTCCTTGCTTTCTGGGAGCGCCTTTCAGCCAAGCGCTGACGAGTACTCCTGTCAGGGTCAAAGCCATCACTTATCTTTTGAGACTTTGGACGAGCTGTCATCCCCTATGATCGGCCTTTCTGTTTCCAGACCGCGACAGTCAGCAGTGGGACTGGACGTCGCAGGGTATGAGGAAAATCTGCTAATCCTGGTAGACTTTGATGGACGATATGGGGGATCTTGGTCTGGCTTCCACTTTCGTTTTAAGCGGGCAGTGTTCGCGTTGACCTGCTGTTCGGATGAGCCCGTCTTGTTTCCTTGGATAGTGCCTGCAATGGCTCGTGCGACATCTGGGGCTGCCTCGCAAAGTTCGTGAAGAATTCTTTTAAACTTATGTCGCACTTAGTATGTTCCTGATTTTCAGTGAATCAGCGTACCTTGGGCGTCTCCTGAAGATCAATGGTTGCGTGGGAAGCATTAAGATGAACAAAACGCTCCAGGAGCGCGATGAGCTCATCCCTGATTTCTGGTATTGGATCGGACGAATCAACATTGTTTGACAACATGGTTGACAGTGAGATTGAATGAAAAATCGGTTATTGCTGTAGGTGAACGAGACTTGAGCAAAACAAAGGGGGCGGTGTGGTGATTCTTATAGCCGTCTCTCTGGACATTCTACTATGCTAGCTGGGCGTTCCAGCATCCTAGGGTGGTGGAAAGCAAGCCAGTCGGAGGTGGCCAGCAGGGTGTCTGACTGACCAGAGTGACTACATATTCCTTTCACGGAAAGTGCTTGGTTGGCTATCCTTGCTTCGTCGTTCCCTAGTCCAAGGCAGACCCGACTCGATTCATACTCAATTGGCCAACGAAATGGTTGGAGCACAGTCGAGCACGGATAAGGGCTCCTGTGCGGGCTCTTCGCTGAGGGAAATTATCGTGTTTGCTTGACAAGGTTGCATTGGATTGTACTCTCTTTGACAGGAGTGCGGCCTGGCCCCCTGAAAGGGTTTATCCTTATGTATCCAAACTGCCCAAAATATTGACCTTTTCCGCAATCCTTGGCGTTGATAGTAGTCAGGAGCTACCATCAGGCGGCGACGAAGATAGCCATAGCGTTGCATCGGCGCCTTAGAAGCCACCCGCTACTTCAAACTAGATAGGACAAGAACTGCGCGCTGTGAACGACCGGCTCTTAGCACCTAGATTAGTCTCCACCCTTCAGGTGAATCTTGGAATCAAGACCAGTTATCCAAGCAACCCGTCCAGGGCCCGTGAGGCTTAGGCTGCTGAGCTCTGGAACGGAAATGTGGATGAGGACGATTTGTCAAACAAAAAACCTCCTGATTATCTAGTACCTTGGCGCAGGAGAAGCTGAACTGTGACCCTCACCGCAATCCTAGGCTAGAAATTCCATGCCCGCACGCTCTTGGATAGCATGAAAGAGACAAAGGAGATTTAGTGCTTGGTTTTCGATTGCCAAGAGAGAGGAATCGTTTTCGAATAAGGAGCCAGCTACTCTAAGCGAGCCATCACGAGTTGCAGGCAGCAGGCAGACTGGGAAGGCGCCTTCGTTTATTTCTCGGCGCCCTCGCGGCATGAAGACATAAATTGCCCGATGTTGGTTGAAGAGCCCGAGGCCGCTTAGGCTGCTTGAGCCACTCCACGTCCTCCAAATCAATGATAACCAACCGCAGGGTGGATTCGTCCCATAGCATATTACGCCACTCTTTGTCTTTGTGGTCGACTCCGTGTGACTGGAGGATGGACAGGCAACGATTGCGCTCTTCGTGGAAGAAGGCTGAATTTTCGTTGTTGATTATTCGCTGAAGACGAGTTCCAGACCAACTTAGGATCATCATATGCGTCATTATTTCACCATGGTACCAATAGTCGATGTTTGGCACAAAGCTGCCTAGACAGACCGGGATTTGATGCCCTTGCAAGGTACGGAGGCGGCGATAGTTATCTGTTTCTGCTATAAGGGCATTTTCCTTCTCCGTTGTGGCTTTGATAATCACGGTATACCCGTGAGACAATAGAGTTGCTTTTAGGAGATACCCAGTCCGACCACGAATATAGAGGCTCAAAACCCTCATTTCGGTTCCGGACAAGTTGACGATGCAGGTTGCGCGTGAACCCACGCGCATCCATGGGATGCCACTGGCCACCGTGGAGTTTCCGACTGGGGCACTTGGTGTCGAGGGGACCTCGGTTGGCCATACCGCGGATGCAAACCATAGTGCATTATGGTCTCTGTATGTTGTTTTTAGAGGGTGGCTCCTTTTTTCTCCGGTCACGCGGTGCCTCCTCTCGTCCGCTAACTAATTGACGTTCACTCCCTTTTCTGCGGTTCTAGGATTATAGTATGGCACTTTTAGCCTTTCCTGGTGACGCGGCTAGACAGACATTAAAAGAAACTAGTCTTCTAGACAATTTCTTTTATGGATTTATGGCATGCTAGCGCAACCTTTGGTCCTGTACATCCTACTCTATAGCCAACTCCAACCAATGGAAATCTTAAAGGCAACTGGGATGAGTGCCAGCAAGCCCCTCCCAGATATATATGTACTAGCATCTCCAACAGTCCCTGGGGGGGTTTTGAGTCTGGGATAGGCGTGTGTCTTGGCTACAGTATTCGAGGCGAGCAAATTCTAATTCCCGGCTGGTCCTACATATTCAACGTTTTCTCTCCAGATATCACACGTCTGTGAATATACAATAGATGTACTGCCACACGATCCACAGTACTCATCTCCGCCACTTTCTACCCTCTGTGTATATTGCAGACATGCCACCAGACACAAACCCTCAAGGTACGATTTCTCCTGTGTCTTGTCTCCTATATCTACATAGCCAAGTTTTAGCCTTTGACCATGTCTGATTTGTAGACTGGGATAAGAAAGGTCTTGCTTAGCTTGATTCTTGGGAGTTTGGGAGCGGAATTTGAGACCAACTACCTTTTTTTTTTTTTTTTTTTTTTTTTTTACGTACGCCTTTTATCACGGTATCAACAATGGCAAATATATAATCCAAATACTCCCCAACGAGACTAGACCAGACTACCCGATGAACAATGAACAATAACAAAGCTAAGACTCATTGCTCTCATCAATCTTCCGCGCAGCAACAACCTCCTCCCTTGAAAAGGGCGGCACGAGGAAATACAGCACCCCGTGTAAAATGGCCGCCGTCAGCGGCCCGATCCAGTGGATCCAGTGGTAGGAGCTGAAATGGGAACCGACCATCGCGCCAAAGCATCGGGCTGGATTCCCGGCTATATTAATATCAATTAACGATGATTAGCCATGGGTGGACGAGACAGATAGATCATCCAACCACACCACACGCGCGCGGCTGCTGGTCTGGATGGATGGATGGAATATGAAGGAAGGAAGGAAGGAAGGAAGGAAGGAAAGGGGCGTACATACAGAATCCCGTGTATCCGTCAAGGCTGACACCGGTGAAGAACGAGCACATGCCGACGATGAGGCCGACGAAGATCGGGCCGAGAGCCGGGCCAAAGACTTCGCGCTGCCGCGGGTCGAGACCAACCCCGAAGGAGAGAAAGACCATGGCGAAGTTGGTTGTCACTTCGATTGTGAATGCGCTGCTGAGGGAGATCATAGACGTATCGATGTAGCAGCCGGGGACGATAAACTATAGATATCATGTTAGAAGGGATTTTCTCTCTACCTTCCGCTAGGGGGTGTGGTGTGGTGGTGTGACATGACACGTACAGATCTCGTGTCCATACTAGCTCGTAAAAGGAAGCCAGCGATTGTACCTCCGAGTGTTTGGAAGGATATATAGAGGACTGCGCGAGGTAGCGAGCAGAGTCGGCTGAAGAATGTTGTAATGGTAATAGTAGGGTTAATATGTGCACCGGAGACTGGGCCCGCAGAGTAGATAAAGAGAGGGAAGGCCACCAGTGCTGTGAGGCCCCCGATCAGTCCTGGAACTACAGGGCCGGAAGAAAAAGCACTGTAATCTGTTATCTTTCTGTGTTTTGACCGGAGGAAGGCAGTAGTAGGAAGTATGGTGCTTACGGAGCCACCTGTCCTAACCCAATAGCCGCAAAACATGTTAGATAGATGAGCAAACAACTCGCAAAGGCCTCCATCGCCGCCGCCTTCCACAGCTCAATCTGGAGAAACCCGTTTAGTGATAGGGCATCGCGGACTGGAATCCAGGGTGCGGCATCCGGGAATTTTTGTAAGATTTCTGCGCGCGCGCAGCTATTTTTTTCCCCAAGTGTAAATTCCTGGTTCGCTCCGACGCGCCCGGCGAAGGGGATGACAGGGCTCTTTTCGGGGAGGGTAACGCTGCCCGAGTGCCAGAGGCTCGCGTGCGGAAATCTCGAACGCATCAATTCGGTTTGATGTTATAGGGATGAGATCGCTGTGTAGAGTGCTCAAGGCGAGTGAGTGATTGGATCCACGTGTATGTTCAAGTCCACATTTCGCTACTATTGACAAGTAACAAATTGATTCAAGCCTGGGGCCTGGGGCCTGGTGGCCTCTATATATAGGGTTCAGATGGTGGTTAGAAAGACCTTGGTCATCCTTCAGCATCATCGCGTCACCGCCAGCGACAGCCCGCCCTGGAGGTGTGATTCGCTCAAGCCTAGAGCAATCTTCACCTGAGTAGGCGGGGATGCACTTTTTTCTCATATTTCGTTGCGATGAATCCGAGCAACTTCCATTCTCTTCATTGCCAAGCCATGCCAAACCCAAAACATCAATACCCCGTCCAATCACCGTCCTAGAAACATCTTCCCATATTTGGCTTAGTCGATCACAAGTGTGACAGAGGATGCTACAGGTCCAGAGAACTCAGCCATGACCAAAAGGATGCATTCAGATGTGTCAGATATCTGTAGGAACAATGAAACTATTTAGCTAGGGAGTCGCTAGATATAGCTACATACATGAAAGAAGACATGTGACATGTGTGCTAGAATCTTCCGTGGAAGACACAGAGTGATATGCGGGGCTTCCAACAAAGTGCAGTCAGCAAGATCCGAGATTCAGTGGCCCTGGCTCTTTGCGGCTGTCCTTAAATCTATCAACGCCTCCTTTGTCCACCGATGCCATTCTCCCCTCCCTTCAAGCCGTCTTCTCGGGTCCAATAATGGCAACTGGGCCTGAAATTCTCGCAATGACTACCCCAACCAAGCACATGTTGTTCAGATCCAATGTGAGATCATTTCTATATTTCATAAGTGAGTGGCAGGCTGTGAAGAGAAGAATCTTCTAGTCCACATTCCTTTCCAGGAATCCTGTACAGCCGCATCCACCCACGCAAAAGTTTGGAGCATGTCGATTAACTTGTCCAGCGTGTCCACGCCTGTATATGCAATCAGATGGGCCATGTACGCAATCAATCGGTTGGGTGAATCGTCCCCCAAGATGCTGATTGCAACAGCTGCGCACCAAAGAACTACCGGGCCGGAAGAATTCAGTGCGCATAACCGGGCGATTCGGGCCTCCAGAGCATCAAGATTGAGTTCCCTAATCTGCTGGGTTCGTGGAAGCGGAAAAGTAACATGTACCGCATACAGGACCGCAGCCAGACGACACGAGAGGTAGATTTCCAGCGATAGCTCGTTCTCGGCATCGTCTTGTTCGGTATATTGCAGATAAAACTCAGTCAAGTCCTCTTCCTTTGGCAAGGAAAGCAGACGGTGGTGGACTGCATTCCTGCAATCACCAAGTAGATCCAAGACATCAGGGCTACATATCGCGGCCGAGTAGTGTTGGACCACTCGAGAGTATTGCCCCAGGTCGATCAGCACCTGAACAACTTCTTGCCTTACAGGTGGCCACATGGTAAAAAGCTCGTGGAACCCAGAGCCCACTTTGTTAAATGGATCGCTATATCCGCGTGGCTGAAATAAGAAACTCGGAGACTGCAGGTCCAACGGCTTCCCAGCAACCCCCACGATCGGGTAGATCGGTTTAGCCAGGGTCTGGGCTGACCACATGAGGGCGGCCAGGGTGAGCAGCCAGGGTAGCGCAAACGTCTGCAGGCTCTCGATCCCGCCGAATCGGCGCACGGTGTCGTGCAGCATGTTCCAATGGAGTGGGTGGTAGTCCCGGCTCCCGTAAAAGTCCAAGAGCTGCAGGCTGACAAAGGGAGGGGAGAATGGGCTGGGGTCTCGGAAGATTCGAGTATAGCGTTCGTCATTCACAGCCAGGAAGAGCATGCACATCACCAAGGAATCTGGAGACGTCGTGTCCGAAACATTGGCAATCTCCCGCTGCAAGGCCCGCAGCGCTAAGAGTCGGAGCTCAAGCTGCTCCTGAGAGTCTAGCTTGGGCACGATAGCGCCGTTGGTGACGCGCAGTATATCGCGATGATACGAGGAGGACCACAGGACGGAATACAATTGCAGATCGTTATCGAACGGCAACACCCACGCTCGATAACAGTTTCCAGGGTAGTCCAGCTGACGAAAGCGAGCCCAGATGGTCGTGGTCGTGAAATCGAGAAGCTCGTGTATTTTCAGGCGCGCCGCCCGGGCATCCACGGGCAGGAGCGGGTCACGGCGTCCTGCTCCGAAAAGATGAGGGCCTGGTAGGTATCGCTGATTATCAGCGAGGAGTCCTCCGCATTTCGAACTTCGATTCTGCGAGCCATGGAAACAGACAGTCTGGCTACTCTGGGTCTTTCTGGGTCGTATCAGAGGGTATCCCGTGGCCTCCAGTTGAACATCCTGATTTGCATCTACAGCGCAGGAGGACAGAGCAGTTGACCGCTTGCTCAACATTGATTCTAGTATTTCGGCGGCATTCTTTCGTCTTTTTGCTCGCCTCTCACGCAGTACCCGCCGTAGCAAGACCGATCGCACATTACTTGACTGTGCGTCCAGAGTCGGCCCTCCAACAAACAAGAATTTCTCTTGCGGGGCATCCTCCGAGGCTGGGAGCATCGCTTAGTAAAATCGATTCGGCGTCACTTGCACAGCTTGAAATCTTGTTAAATATGCTCTGACCCACCAACCAGGATGGGAGCTGACAGCGTGGGTCGGGGGAGATCAAGAGACACGTTCAAGTTCCAAAAGATAGCCGCGGCAGCTGAGAGACGCCATCTTTACTCAGCTGTTTGGTGTAACTATTTGCAGTAAGTGGCACGTGATGAGAGGTCATTTTTGGCTAGTCTAATTCGACCTGGTCAAACTCGACCTGCGCGGCGGCCCAAAAGGCGACTTCTCGCAAACTTCTGAGGAGTCCTCTGCGTTCTTGACAGTTGGCGCCCGAGTTCTTCTCCAATCAGATTAGACCATGAGACTCAAGGAAATCTATTATCTTGAGAGTCCATCCTCATCGCAGCTCGGGCTTGCAGCGGCTTCCTCGTCTCCGGCTTATGCATGTATCCGACGGACCTAATCCGCGCCCTGGAGACAAACGGACTCACACAAAAGACTTGTTTGCAGAGAAAGACTGGCTTTTACGACCACAGAAACGCTCAAGGGCAGATCCGGAACTCACCATCGGCCCACGTTTTGGGATCGTCTCTCGGAGGTTAAGCTCACCAAGCGCGCACTGATTGAACTGAATAGACGATTCTCGCATTCTAGTCCTCCCACAGTCCAGTTTCAACCCCGCAGGTCCTCTTTGGATGAGATTGCTCGTCTAAAACACTTCTCGCCCGATGAAGTTGCTAGTCTGAAACGCCTATCTCGACTTGGAGGCCCTGATCTCCGTGATCTGACTGGGGTAATGTGTTTTTGCTAATGGGCTGAGTCTGTCTAACATCTATAGTATCCACACCCTATGGCGCGAAGAGCTCGTTCAAAATCAAGAGGTCGGTCAACTACGGGCCGATCGAGATCCCACTCGAATCGAACACCTAGGCAGCTTCCGAAAAGCGATCATCGGCGTATGATGCCAACTTCGAACAAGCGCTTGTTGATGCTGGAATATACCCTCCGAATCATCAAGGATTTCGTGGTCGGCGCCCGCGGAATCGGGATGCTATTATGGCTATGTTGGAGAGAAGAAGAGAGTCGATCTCTGGGCTGGACGAGGACACCTTTGATGATTTTGTGCAAAAAGACCATGACGCCTGGAGTGAGAAAACCGTGATGAGCACTGTTTTTCTGATCATCCGAGGCTCGGCAGACATACCATTCAGAGAAGAGAACCTCTTTGGAAATCTGGACCCGCTCGCAGAAGGCATTGTTTCTGCAAAGCCAGACTTTTACGACGGCACTCTGGCAGCGGAATATGATAAGGTTGTTCATCAACTCCTTGGCTCCTCTATTATCCCTTCAACGCAAGACCACCTCCCTATCGCGCCCAAAGTTCTTCTGTGAGGGGAAGGGGCCGGATGGCTCTCACGCAGTGGGTGAACGGCAGGCCTTATATAATGGGGCACTGGGTGCGCGCGCAATGCATCATCTCCAGAGATTTGGGAATGCGGTATGGTACGACAATAATGCTTATGCTATCACTTCCCTCTACCACTGCGGCCACCTTGAGCTGTTTTACGGTGCATCCATTGGAGCCCGCACACCCAAGCAGAGACAGGCGTTATCAAATGACCCTATTGAGGTCTTACTCGCTGAAGGATACGTGCGAGACCTTTCGCCAAGGCCTCCAGGCCTTCCGGAACGCTCGAGATTGGGCCAAAGAACATCGGGATAGCTTTATATCCAAGGCCAATGCTACTGCGGCGACGATGCCGGGCGTGTATCATCAAGGTCGTAGCGGGGAATCTCAGCCTTCAACCGTCGAGCGTGGGTACTCTGGGTCGGAGACATCCACGGACGAGCTTGCTCGGCCACCAATTATCGGGGCGTCAAGGAAAAGAGTATTGTCCCATGGAAAACGACCAACTGGGCCAGCCAACCGGGAGAAGTCCTCTCGCGTTGAGTAGCTTCTACCTCAGAACGAGGACCGGGGAGCTGTATCAAGACACAACAGCCGAAGTAATTAGATAACATGGAAGTGATAGACAATAAAATTGCCTTGATGGATTGTTCCTACATTGGACGAAGTTTTCGATCGCATATAGCTGCTGACATGAATGGCCACGGTTTTGAGTTCTACCTTTTCGCCCCTAGTTGATTGTGCGGCTGTGCAGCATGATGCGGGACCGGAGCTCCACAGAATTAAAAGAGCCGCTCAGCTGGCCCATCAAACTGTGGAATTTGGTGATGGACGGTTCGGTTCATGCCGGTTCAACTGAGGTGGGTCACACTGGTGGGACGTGTCTGGGCGCGTGCGATCGCTCAATTTAATTGAGGCTAAGCTGTTTGTTGTGTTTGCAGATACTGACACGTGATTCAGCACATGCTGCGAAAGCCACTTTTGGCTAGTCGGATCCGACCAGGTCACTGCACTTGAGCAGCGGACCAAACGAGCAAGAGCTGGCTGCGCGCCGTCTTCTGGTCCGTCTCACCACGAGACTTCTTCCCCGCCAACACAACGGTCCGCGCCGCGAGCAGATAGCCATGGGAACCAAAGCGGGCAATCTCGCTCCCATGATGCTCCATATTGCACGCAAAAATGCCTTCTCGGGCTACAGCAAGGCGGCGCGCTTGACCCTAAGTGTCACAACAAAAAGCTGCATATGCTTGGTGGAAGGGAGGACCGCCATCCGATCAGCGCAGCCGACTTGGTGAAGAAGCTTAAGGCACAGCTCGATCAGGATCTCGATCATAACTGCACTCCTATGGGCCCTTGTGGGTCTTGTGGGTCCTCTGGCGCACCGTTCAAGATTACACGTTCTACCTTCGGATATACTGTTGTCGGGAAAGGGACGACTTCGAATCGCTGGCGTAAGGTCTCACGCGAAGCTGAGGTCTACGGGGTCCTTCAGCGTGCCCAAGGATCGGCTGTTCCCGTCTTACTCGGGGCGATTGATTTGGCCCAAATTTACTTCCTCCACGGCGCGAGAAGCATCCGTCATATGCTTTTGATGGGCTGGGGTGGGGAAAGCGTGTACCCTAATACGCTAGACATGGCCATCCAACGTGCGATTTATCGGTCGGTGAAGGAGATCCGCTCTTACGGTATTGTTCATCAGGATCTCCGTCCGGACAACAGCCTGTGGAATGCTGAGCTCGAGCGAGCCCTGATCATTGACTTCCATCTGTGCAACTTCGAGGAAGCTCGCGGAAAGGTATGCCATGGTCTGCAGGTTAATGCGGGAGTCGGGGATTTTGAAGGAAATTATATCCTTGGAGATGAACTAGATACCCGGATCAACTCGTATGTTGATATAGAAGCAGACCCTCGGCATGAGGGAGGTAGCTAACTGGAAGTGTGCTTTGAAGGGGGTGGTAGGATGTAGTGGTGAATGGATTGCGCCAGTGTTCTTGGAGAAGAGTTGGGTCATCGCGGTCTATATGTGACCGGGTCCGGTTCCTCGGGCTTCTGATAGAGTGATGGGTGTCCGACGTCGGTATGTCCAACTGGGAGTCAGGGAGCTTCCACTTCCACGCGTCTCCATCCGCACTGCCAGATTTTGTTTGGTGTATTTTGACGCTCGTAGGAGGTTGCGGAGCTCTGCAGCAACCGTGAATTCCTTGCCACAGTACATGCAGACCTTCATGCATTGACGATCGTTAAATCGGTGTCCCATGTTGGCTAGTCCATGTATACTTCCTGGTGCTCAGGGCATTTGCATCCTTTGTACACTCCCCCTCCAGCCGTGCGGGGGTTTGTGACCATAGGTGTCTGTGAGATGGGTCGTCATCTGGGGTACCGTAAAGCCATATATCGCCGATTTCGTTCGCGATTCCGTTTAGCCAGTCATCTGCTCCTTGCGTTTCTGATTCCTCAGTGTTGTCGATCGGGTGCTGGGATGGTAGAAGGTCGTTTGTCGGGTCTGACTGCCAGACCGGGCCTTGTAGCTGCAGGTATTGCCCACTCCTCTCCATCGGACAGGGCGACAGGTGTTGGCATTGCGCTTAGTTGCTCCGATTCCCAGTTCCATTAGGTTCCCGTACGCGCTGAGGTATCTGCTCTGTCGACGAAACAATTGAGACTTTCAATGGTTGGCAGTGATCCGCGACTAGTGTGTACAGGGCTGTAGTTTTTACCGCCGGCATTTTGCGGCTCTAAGACTGCTGTTGGTGCCGGAATGGCCCTCGATCTTCCGTGCGCGTCTCAACTTGGTTTGGTATCCCCGGGTGTTCCATGGCACCTGGTTCTGCCGCCCTCTATCCAATGCTTGCAGTTGATTGCATGGTATGTGGCGTGCTCGTTGATGTTTTCGGGGCCGTTGTTTACCTGTGGCCACTTAGGCGCCATTACGACAATTAGGACGCGTTTTTACGCGTCAATTGAAGTAAATGCCTATGAGGATACAAATAGACTGCATAAATTGCAAAATATGACGCGTTTCCAAAAATCTGCTCTGAGCTGTGGGTAGCGTTTTCCTTGGCCTCCGGCCATCGTGCTGGACATAGCTGCGGACTGTGAGCCCCGGCGGCTCGGTAATCGTCAACTGGTATCGAGGGTAGCTTTCTGTCGATTCCAGCCCTTTACTGAGGGCTTTCGAGTTTCTCCCGGATCCAGAGCTCTAATAAGAGTTCTCCCTTATAATATCCCGGTCAGCGCCGACATCTTCGCTTGGCCCAGAACGGGAGACGGAAGAACAGGTGAGGCGATTGAGCTCCGGGCGCTTCTTCTCCAGCGCGCCTTAAACGGCAGCAAGGAAGCATATTGGGACACTGGCCCAGGCGGTTCCGTTTAATCAGATTATCAGGCTTTTGGAGGGGGGGGCTCTTACAGATCACTGTGAGGCGACAGGAAGTCTCCCCGCCGGGGAGATAGGGGGCCGCAAGCAACGCTGCGCAGCGGATGCCATGACATGCCTCCTCTGGAGGAGCACTCACGATGCGTGGAAATGAGAGCAGCTCATGGCACTGCTCTTCAGGGATATTGCGGGTGTGTCTGGCCATGTCAACGACAGGAGGCCTGTGATTCGCATGCAAGAGCTATGCTTCGACGGCGACTGGATTCGCTGGGTACTATCATTCCAGAGCGGTCAGCCAACCCAAGGCTATGTGAGTACGGGAGTGTTCAAAACCACGCTAATAGGTCTCTCGAATGGGGAAGCGGGACTGACTTTGGCCAACAGCCTTCTTGAAAACCGTCAGCTGCGGTACACAATTAGGCCTACTGGACGACAGTCCCGCAAGCTTCTTCGGGGTGTTGACCAACATGCGCAACCCGAGGAAGTATATCTCCAGGGATCAACTCTGAGCCGACCCGCACCGCCAAGCACCATGGTCATGGGGAGACCATCAGACTCGATAACTAGCCGACATCATCCTCGAACATCTCCTGCAAGATTTGACGGCGCTCGACGCGCTGACGTTAACGGCTGGGCAGGTAATTGTTTTGGGGATAGAGGACATTCTCACCGCGACGAGGGTAACACAACCAGGCCACGCGACCTGGTCAGACGGGTCCAGCCATCCCACAAGTGGATGTCACGGAAATTCCCACCTGAAAAGGCCACACTGAAAATGGTTGGTGGCAACCCAACCGAGTCCTAATAGACTCCTAAGCCGCGATGGCGCACGCGCAAACCGGTCCTGGTCGAAAACTGACCCTTCAAGCTCTTGCAGCAGGCGAGGTTCTACAGACGCGAGTCCAAGAACCTATCTGCTAAGTTGCTGGTTAACTGTTTCTTCCAGTTGAAAAGTAGGCATGCAGCTATTAAAGCCCACCTTTACCAGATTCATGCACGGGACACCACACCGTGCAAGAAAGAAAGGCGCTGCACTAGTAAAATCCGTGCTCCACGTCCTCTTCGAGTGTCGAGCGTGCCAGAAGTAGGCAGATTGAGCTCTACCGAACCAGCGACCAGGCTGGGACAATCAGGCATTCCGCAGCCGAAGGATACCCAGCAGGCAGGTGGCTTGGGGAACCGAAGGCGACAGCGGCGGTATGACAAAGGCCATCGTCTGCGCCTGAGAGCGAGCTCGATGCCATGATGAACGGGATTGGTGAATTTGAAGGAGGCTGAGATGGTAGAGGACGGATAATAGGAAGTGTAGCCTGTCCCTCAGACCAGGGGACACCTGGTCCGCAGGCCACACTGAGGTGTGTTAGTGGTGGCTCTACACCCTGCGGAAAGAGACGGCTTAGAGCGAGGAAAAGAACCAGGCACTATTGAGGGGGGATTATACCCAGGAACTTAAAGAAGCGGAGATCTGAAAGCAGCTTCGCTGAGCGGTACAGACTCCGCCTCGGATTCGCGGTCTGTTAATAGCGTCAGGGCTCGATAAAGACCATAAGCCTGATCAATAGGAAAAATACCTGCAGTTGCCAACCCTTTCCAATGGCAGGGCTGGGAAAGCGAAGAGACAAGGTCAATATCAGAGAAACAGTCCGCAAGATGCTTCCGAATTAGAGGACAATTTGATAAAGGAATAGCATGACTGCTGGCTGCCCTTGATGGGTGGCGGGCGCGGCTTTTATAGACAACACAGAGCGATGCCAAGCGGCGCTGAGGCGCTTTTCCTGATTTAGAACACTGGCAGCTCCGCTGACTCACCACCGCAGACTCTGGATGGGGCTCCTTACACCCAAGCCATGAGACCCTCGTCGGAGGATGTGAGACAATCCATCGCGGGGTTGTGCACTGAGTCTCCGCAGTGTCAGAGACCCAGTATCAGAGACGACTTTTTTTGAAGTTCTTCCGGCCAACCCCAGTCTTGCAGCAGAACGAATTTTATCGATGGCTCCGAAAATCGCCTCTCATTGCGAAGCTTCATCCTTTCATCTGCGCTTTCCACTTTCTGACTGGCCCGCCACTAAAATATGTGTAGAGAATAGGACGAGGATGTTGCGGCACTGGCGCCTCAGGACGATGCTGCAGAACAAACCATTGGAAGCAGCGACATTACCTCTGGCTGGCGCTCAAACTCTGCGGGTTCTGCGGTCTATCGTCGATGTCTCGGAGTCAGTTGAGCCGAGGCTTTCTGGTGGCTCCGGACATCTGCCTGTCCAAGCTTTTCAGGGGAGATAATAGTGCCAAATCTCGAAGTGCATGGATCTTTCGTATGAACAGTAGAAGATGATGTCCAGACCGGTAAGTACACACAGGAATGATTAGGATACTCTCCTTAAGGCATTTTTGATGGAGAGCCAGCTGCAGTGTTAGCTGGTGCTGAAAGACGTCATTGCTGCTGGCAGAATGCTCTCATAGGTGCCGCGGTTTTGACAGCACCGTTATTTTCCTCCAAGTACTATCCATTAGTAATCTTTAGCCGACGCTTTCAGCGTACGGGTCGTTCGTTCTTCAAGATTTTGACTATCGGGATCGCTGTGAGTATGCCAAAGTTATTGGACAATCCAGCTCGTAGGGAACGCTTACCGAAAGTTGAAGCTGAGTATCGCCCTCGCCGATAGCCGTACTCCATCGGCCCATAGACGTGGGTGTGGGCAGTATGGTGGCCGCTACCATTCCCGGAAGTTGTTTAAGAGACGATGGCTGCTACATCCAACTACATTCTTCACCGCGCACGCCCTGTCTTCGATGAAGCATCTTTCAAGGGCCCGAACCTCGATTAAAGATAGTAATCCTCACACTACATCCTCCGCGCCCTTAGATCCCTAACATGCAACACAAAATAAACCCCCAGCAAGCCCGCAGAAGCAAGGTACGGCCGGCAAAGGCCATCACCATAATCCTCATGACTAATCCTATACAGCCTAACCCCAACAGCCAAGTCTACCACGATTCCAGCAACGAGCTGCAAAGTCCCCGTCACCGGCAAGATCGGCCTCAGAACTGAGGCTCCCCCGAAATACGCATACATTAGCACATGGTGGAATGCATTGGCTGCCACAAAGACACGCCACCCATCTGAATCCAAGTGATCGGTGGCGGGGAGGAAGCGGACGAAGGTTAGGTATGGTGTCGTCAAGTGGTGGAAGGTAAAATGCAGATTTACGGGGCTCCCCGCGGCGCGGACGAGGAGAGTAAAGGTCAGGAGCTCGGGAATTGTAGTCAGGACGGCCGCCATCTTGATGACACTGTCTTAGGCCTCAACTGTCTCAACCGATATGGAGAGTATGAACGAAGAACAACTTCCCGCCCTGGGCTTCTCCAGGCTTTTTGAAAGGGCATGTATGGGAGGCAGTGACTCATTGCAATCTTGGCAGAATCAACGCAAAGGAGATCGGAGTTGCAGTTTTCAATCTGCACATTAGATTCAGTCAGATTATTACCTAAGCCGGGATTGGAAGATAAGTGAGACTATAATGTAATTCCCGACCGAAGCGCTCAACCCATCGACTTTGACCACACTGAGTAAATTTGAAGCTATCGCCAACAGCCAAAACCTTTATTAAACTAAATAAATTAATTACTTTGACGATTAGGACATCTGACTCTAGTATGCCCCTGGATACCATATTCAGAACACCTTGGTGGAGCGCGTTTTCGTGTAGTTAAAAGTTCTGGAGTAGAAGAAGTATATACATCCAAAGCACCACCTTGCTCATTTAACTGCTCATTTCTCAACGTAATTAGATCCCCTTGCCTCTTGTATTGATAGGCCTTTATTAGGGGTTATCTAGCACTTAGATCGACTCTTTTACCGCTTACTTTTCTCATGTTCTGCGCGGAGATCATGTAATTCTTTGACATAAAGGCTGCCTGGTGCATTATTGATTCATAACCTCTAAGTAACTCATTATAAGTCCTCTTTAAAGGCGAAGAGGGGCTTCTTGAGTCCCTCCAAAGGATCTTTTTAACTGATGATGCCTTCTTAAAGAGTTGGCGAGCTGTAAGAGGTGTTGCTAGCATGGAGGAGCTAGTTAAGTCTCCCCCACGGCTCTAAGGGGGGGTTTGGCGTTGATATTAAGATATTCAACTTGTCAAGCACCCGTTAAGGGTTAAAAGGAAGTATCTTAGCTACAGCAAAACCACTTTGAATGTTCTAAGTGGTAGATACTTGGTGGTGAGTGGTGGGATAAGCACTTAGGAAGTCAAATTTATTAATATAGTTAAATCCTAAGCGCATCTTTACCTCCACTAATCCCCCATGCGCGCGCTTTAGTAGCCCAAAGCAAACAACATCTAGTAGTTACAGAAGATGAGATAAATGAGGAGGCATATAGATAGCAATAATATTATTTTCTTCACAGGCCTTATTGAATTGAGGTGCAAGATGACTTCCATGGCTGTCAAGGACTAGTAATTAATATTAACTAATTATTTGACTAGTAGTTATAGGAATAAAGACCTTCTAAAGCCACTAAAGGCCTATTTCATCTGTAGTCCAGCCATTTGCGCTTAGTTCAATCTACCAGTTAGGTTATATACCATATTCTTTAAACCAGCCCTCGATATGGCGCTTGCCTTTGAAGATAATACATGAAGGGACCATCTAACCACTTAAATTCATGCACTTGATTGTAGTAACCCATTCTCGATTGCCTAGTTGAATAAGATGAGGCTTTCTAGGTATATCAGTTCTAGTAACTACCTTAGTAGTCACTGTAAGACCCATTGCAAAGCCAGTCTCATCAAAGTTGTAGATATCTTGGTCAAGGATCCTGTCACAGCGGGTGCCTCAGGCAGCCCCGACAGGAGGCCGCGCGACCGGGATCCGACCCGTTTGGGCCTAACCCCTTTAGGCCAAACCCCGGATGACTCTCTTGGCATCGCTGTACATAACAGACCTATGGAGAATCGCTGGTCTTCCTGATCCCCAGCGATTCGTTCCTGAATCAATTAGCATACAGCTTCTCCTTCCTCTTTCGTACATCCCTCGTAGCTCGATATCTCGTTGCTTGCTAGGACCTCGCCGCGGGTGAAGACCGACTGGCGTCCGCCACCGATCCGACCTCGCCGCTTACAGATCCCCCATTACTTTCGAGCCTCTTCTAGCTGGTTAAACCATGCCTTTATAACCTTTGGGTCTTCGCATTTCGCGCGCGAGTAGTTATATCGTCGAGCAAATCGAGTTTTAACTTTAATATTTTGGTTAATAAAGGAAGAGACCTAGTTCTTTCCTAGAGGTTGAGTAGCAGAGCCAAGAAGAATATTAGCTATCTCTATAACATGAGAAGGTCTAGGAGCAACTCCACGCGCATCTCTAGATAGTATCCACTTTATTAAAGATGCCTCTTCATTCTTAGAAAGCTAGTGACTGTTGGCGCGCTACTTAATTCGATATTACTTTCCTTTAATTCAACCGCGTAGTGTTGAGTAAGGCACATTAAAAACATCCACTACTCGACGAAGAGACGTGATCTCGCCTTTATTTATAGCGGAAATTGCGAGCTGTATCCTCCCCTCTTGCTCCACCAAGTTTCGATCCGATAGACGCGATTTTGGTGGCATGGTGGTTGTTTGAATATTTACGCGTTGAACGCGCGATGGTTTTTGGGGTGGTGAGCGCTTCGGTTGGGAATTACGTTAGTGCTCGTAGTATTATTATAGATGATTATAAGGATTGTTATACCCAGATTAGATAAGATTAGGTTCCTCGGGTGACGAGTCCACTGCCCCGCGCAATCCCCCACCTCAACCCCTCACCCTCCATGATTCCACCTTAAGATGTCCCTCCTCTCCCTCCCAAACGAACTCCTCCTTCTCATCGCGTCATACCTCCCCTTCCCGCGCGACCTCTACGCGCTAACCCTCCCAAACAAACGGCTGCACACCCTCCTCGACCCTTACCTCTACAAACGCGACGTCATCGAAAACCACAGCTCCGTCCTCCTCTGGGCCTCGCAACACGGCCACACAATCCCCGCGAAAAAATCCCTCGCCGCAGGCGGCGACCCCAACACCCTCGCAGATGTCGACGAGGGTCCGCTGCACTGCGCGTGTAATAAGGGATATGGCGAGATTGTAGACCTCCTACTGGCAGCGCCAGGGGTTGAGCCTGATCGAGTGAGTGCGCATGGACAGACGCCGCTGTGCATTGCTGCGATGCGTGGGAATGTAGCCCTTGCGCGCAAACTGCTAGGTACCGGGAAAGTCGAGGTGAATAAGCCCGCGTTCGGCAATTTCGCGCCCCTGGGTGTTGCGGCTGCGTATGGGCGGGCGGCCATGGTACAATATCTGCTCTCCGTTCCCGGGATTGAACCCGACTTGCGGAATGCGGCGGGGTACAGCGCGCTGACTGTCGCGGTGAACCATTGGCACGCTGCCGCTGTGGAGCTCCTTGCTGGAGTGGATGGCGTCGATTTGGAGTTCCCTGATCAAATGGGGCGGTCGCCGCTGTCTGTGGCGGCGAGTATGGGGGCCGTGGATGTTGTGAGGGTGTTGTTGGCGTCGGGGAGGGTGGATGTGAATTCGCCGGATGGGGCGGGGGAGACGCCGTTGGGGTGGGCGGCGATTTATAGGAAGCATGAGGTGGTAAAGGTTTTGCTTGCGGTGGACGGGGTTGATCGGTCCAAATTGACCGGGAGGCATCTTATGGCCCTGGGGTGGGAGAGTATTCTATGAGGGTCTCAGTTCGAGTGACTCGGCTGAGGAAGCGGGTCTACCTGTGGCGGATCTCTGCCGTGCCAACTCAGAATGGTCTTTGATACACTATACACAGACAAGGATCTGGTGAGAGCGTTACGCTTACGAGATCCTACCTAAAGCTACGACTCAAGATGGTCCACTGCAGCGCGCAATCACATCCCATTGCGGACGTGTAGTAGTCCCATGGCTGCGGGACCTGAGACGCGGGAAAGACGCTGAAGCTGCGCGACCGCAGTGGAGGGAGGGTGGGCACATCCATCGCTCATATCGTTTGTACTGGAGCCAACTTCCTGCCAACTCGTTCTGTAGCCAGCGGTATTCACCAAGGAAGAAGTGCGGCCGGCAACAGAGCGGCGCCCCGAAATAACTAGGAACAGCCCAGGTCAGCATTGCTCAGATTCAATTCGAACCCGATTGTCCCGGCATCTGGATCCCGAGAACTTAACTCGGCTTCATGAAATCTTTTGTATCTCCAAGCACCACCCCACTTCAGCGGATGCTGGATGTTGAGATTTGAACTTCCCAACCATAGGCGCCAAAAATGGCCCTCATCCACCGCCCGGAAACACAATCTTCGGAAAGCGAAGTCAGCTAAAGGCACGTGGCTGGTGCTGTTGTTGTAATCAACTGCGTGGCTGGGGAGGCATATCAAGAGACCTGGGTATTTGATGCCGCCCAATTTGTACAGCGAATACGGACGGCTTTTGGACGATCGAAACGAAAGGGATGGGGCAACATATCAAAGAGGTTGCGAAGCGGCTTGGTTCCCCGCCTGTGATGAGTAATATTCACGGGTGGATCCTGTACTGCTTGCCAAGTATCCTCTAGCACATTATGGGAGGCACGTTTGAGTAGGCAGCTTCTATCACTCTGTGGGCGGCGCTTAGCTCCTGGAGTAAGCAGGAAGTGGCAATGTGAGTCTCTGGATCCCACATCAAATCATGAATTAGTCCCCAGCGAGCGAGTACCTTGCCTATTGTTCCTTGGAGGGTCCTTCCCGTTCCCACGATTCCCTGGCATCTTGGGACCTGGTCCCTGATTCGTGGGAACGGTAGCGGAGTTCTCGCGAGCCGCTGCCGCGCTCCCAGGGTTTCTAGTACGGGATAGGTAGGATCCTCTAGGTTTGGCTCGATCGGGTTTAGCGCTCACACGTTGACCCACTGAGCGCTGGGGCGAGCCTCGGGCATTGGATCGTTGGCGCTGACCAGTGCCTGCCAAGAGGTTGGGACCAACTGTGAATCACTCTGAGTCAATCAATTAATTAATCTGGTTGGCTGCAAAAGCTGACCCACAGATTAGCGCCGCAGTCGCGCTCACGGCAGTGAAACTCCAATTCATTGGCTCTGCATTCCAAGGCGGGCCCCAACTGCGGCATGCGGATGAAGCCCACCAGCTTTCTACCTGATTTCTTCCCGAGTCCGCACCAAAATCTGTTGGGAGCTCTCAATCAAGATGCAATATTCCGACTACTATAGGGTAACGCGACATTTCAGGACTTCGCTTCTGCAGGTCATACCCTGACGATTAGACGAGCCCCGTACCAAAGCCAAGAGCAGACTATTATAAAGAAAAGGACCTTTTTTAGAGTTATTATTGATAGCATTGACTGATAGGTTATGTAGCCGCTCATGCGAAGCGATGACCCTCACTAAGCTTGCATTAATGGGGCCGCGGTGGGTAAGTGGCGCTAACATCGCTATATTATGCTCCTTTGCACATATGCGCGAATGACTTCGCTTGGCCGGTCAATCCGGGCATCATTCATCTGCCTGAAGACAGGCGATAGAGTTCGTCATTCATCACAGGGTAAGGTGAGGGATAGAAACAGTTGTCGTCTTGAGTCGCATCTTGTGCTCCAGCGGTAAAATCTCGTGTGCAATGGGCTTGCAAAGACCGGCAGAGTAAATCTCTATCAGCGACGCGCCCATCCAAGCTATCCGAAACGCAGATACTACGAGTCTGCACGGCGCCATTTGCCCGGAGAATTCCCACAAGCACAGAATTGCAGCCCAAGGGACTGACCGACGGGCGGTTGCATGCGGTTGTTGCCGTCCATCTCCATCTCACCTAGTCGTCGGTGCGTTTCGTGCCCCTGCCAAGCAATAGGATCATTACGTAAGATAGCGTTCCATTTGGCTCGCCCTTGCATTGGCTGGTTCGCGCGTCCCCCCAAACATTCACTTCTTCCCAGACGCGTTCCAATGGCCAATCTTGCGCGTCACTTACCAGTAACCGCGGATCTCATCGCACATCTTCGTGGTATGAAACCCTTAGGATGAGGTCGCCTAGCATATGGATACTTTCTTCTATTTCCCCGGCTTCCACAGTCCCGTTTCGCCCGCCTCCGGAGAGTTCGAAGCGATGCGTGTCCTCAAATGGTCGAGCAAACCAGACGCTGTTCCAAGGGGCCCAGACCGCCGGACGACCCGGACGAGGCCTAAACGGCAGTAGACCGCGTTTGACCAGAGCTCCTTCAACCCCAGATACTTTCCGGTATTGCTCATGTTAGCTGTTCCGGCCCACGCTGTAATCGCTTTCTAGATCAGTGACAGACCCTCTGAAATGACCGCAGCTACACCAGAGAAGGTAAAAGATAAGGCTGGCGACCGGACGGCACTGGGATCATCTCCGGTAACCCGGTGCTTGACAGGGCTCCAGAGAAATGTCCGATTAAGGTCGCACCATTGGACAAATTGTCGCGGCCCACTCGATGTCGAGTGGACATGTCTGGAAATGCCCTGAACGCAGAGACTGGGTTACAGGTGCCAACCGCCGACACAATGGGCTGTGAGACCGGGCTGTCGTCCGCGCGAAGCGTTTGCCCGAACGAGGACGACCGTTTGCACTCAGACGTAGGCAACCGCTATGTTTATCGCCAGGCCACACTCGGCACCGACAGTCTGATATAACATGGGCCCCAGATGGCCCCAGCCGAGAAGTCTGGACCGTTGGTTGCCATCCTCCTCGAGATAGCAACATGAACTGGCGAGACGGTATTTGGGTATGGGTCTTGGGGAAGCTGGGCGTGCACGTTTCGCTGACCTCGAGGTATGCCCTCCCCTGCGAGATCAGCCAGGCACTTACTGACTACCAGCCGGACGCACCCTAGCGCTTCCGCCCCAGATGGCTCTACCAACCACCGAAGTGTCACATACGTGTCACGGGTCCCTGGTCCCCGGGTCGGCTCGTCCCGACCTCGGTCAGGCAGACGCGCCAGGGAACCAGTCCCGTCGGCTGCACGGTCTGGCCGGTTACAGTGCCACCGTTGCGGTGGCACGCGCTCGCGGGCCTACCATTGCCGACACTACCACGATCCATCAGCGTATCCCGCGATAGGAGTCTGTTCTCGCCGTCGGACGGGCTGCGCAGACGCGAAGACGCC